GAGAATCAAAAGAGAGGTGTAAGCGAGCAATGAAGTAAATATGTTCAGAACAGAGTATAAGATCCAGCAGATCCAGCTTCCCAGTTGGCAGGTGTAGCTGCGGAGGTGGAGGTGCCTCCTGCCAGATCCAAACATCGGCTTTGTTCAGCTCCTGGATGGAAGTTCCGCGATGTGTTCAATAAACTAGAATCGATGTGATGTATCCATTATGTTGTGGGTGCTTGGTTGCTGAATGTGGAGTTTTGTCACAGAATTGCAGCTGATTGTTTTCGTAATTTAGTATGATCGTGCATGTTTTAAGTAGGCGCTATCTGCAGTTTTAGACCACCAAACATGCAGCATATGCATGTGTTGCAGCCACTAGAGTCATATCAGATGGGTTTCGGCGGGCCAATCATGGAGCTTTTGTGTTTCGATTGGTCTCCAAGTACGGCCAACCATGGCGCGTCACATGGGGCCCACGCACGCCCCCCAAGTTTGGTGGTTGATTGTGGAGCCATGTGGCCCCCCATTTTTGTCGGTGCCAGTGCCAGGCACTCTCACCTTTGAAACCACTGTCGCCGTCGTTTTGAGTCGTTGAGTCGTTGTTCGGCCAGGGAAGTGAGGATGTCGACCTTGGGCGAACCAACCCTGCTCTTTGACCCTTGGACATGGCTGCGCAGTTGATGCCAAAATGCTGTCCCGTAACACTCTAAAGCTGCAAGTGGTATGAACATGTTGTGCCAGTGCCTACTGGTAGCACAGTCTACACCGCGAAACTATCGTATTTTGACTGGTGATGTTTTGTATTTGCTGATTGCATTTCGGATGGCTGTTTCCGGGGTTGAGGATTTGGGCCGTGGAACCAGAAACCAGGTCAGACGTTTCACCTTTGACGCCAATGTGCTTACCCCACGCGTGAAAAAACATCTAACACAGTTAACATGTTCTGAGGACGGGGCTGACATCCTTACAGCATCTTACAGCAACAAACCTGTCCAAAGGAATCCAAAAAGAAGCGTTTTACGAGTATGAGGTTTCTTTACATTTGTCTTTGGTCAAGAGTTCAGCTTTTCTTCTGCACGAAGGATGCATTTGTTCAACAGAAACTTAGTGTTCATGGTGAGGATAGCAAATCGTGAAGATACTCTTCAATCAAGACAAGAGGCAGCAACTAGGCATGATTGTTCTATATGACCAGCAAAGGGGCAACTAAGCACCAGGCACCAAATCTGGTTGGTGCTATGTTTTCGATGAAGCGTGTTGTCCATACAGCGAAACCCACGCTTTGCTGTGCTTGGGAAGGGTTTACCCTGACTCATGCTTGCTTTCTATTACGTTTGATGCGACTGTACCTCAGCAAAGCCTGAGGCTGCTCTCGGTTCAGCTCTCGGCTTGGCCAGGGGGTGACCTTCGATCAGAGGCTTGTTTCAACGCCAGCACGCTCAGAGACGCAGAGAGAGCACCGCTCAGAGAGCACCGAGAGAGAGCACCGCAAGAGCACACGTGACGCGGTGACATCATGTACAGCGTTTGTCCACCATTCCCTGACCACAAATTAGAGCCACAAATTAGAGGGGTATTTGGTGTGTTTTTGCGCTGGTGGTCACCTGACCAGGTCTTAAGTTGTGGTTTTGGCAAGGATTTGATTTGTGAACAGTGGCATTTGGTCAAGAGTAACAAATCTAGCTCGAAGGTTTGAAACGTGTTTTGCTGCTGACTGAGGTATGTCGTTCCCCAATTGCCCTATGGGAAGAACGATTGAGCGAATTTGGAATTAAGTATTTATTTCGATGCGAGTGTTTGATTGAGCGTTTATGTACACGCGATGCAGGGTGTTTGCCTGCGGATGTTTGCCTGCGGATGCGGGAAGTGGATGCAACAGATTTGTCATGATTTGTCACAGTATTTGTCACAGTCACGACATTGTAGGCCTGTGAAGGAACTTTTCCCATCAATTGAACAACCGTCAATCAAACTCTCATCATATTGTATAATTAATCAGTATTTGCTCAAAATCTATTTATAGTTGCTGTAGCCCTCCTGATACCTACCTTTAAGTGTTGTTTGTATATGTGCACTGTTTTCTGAACATGGCCACATGGGAATCGATTTGATGGCTGGATGAGTTGATTGTCTTGGGGGTGTGAGTCGAAGATGTTTGAAGACTCTTCCTTTTGGTACTTGAGACTGGCCTCCTGCAATAAAGGCACCACCAAAAAACGGTTCCAGCTTTGCACAGAACTCTTGGCAGGAATCCTGGGTTTTTCGTTTGAACTAGTATGCTTTAGTACCTTACTCCGGTGATGGACCTCAGAACAAGAATTTCTCTTCAAGTTCCCCAGACTCTTGGTTCTTTGTTCCGGGGTTGTACTAGTGCATTATACAGTACATTCTTGTTCCCAATGTATAATTTTCATATATGGTAAGTCTTAAGCGTGAGCTGTAGAGAAGATTTTGTTAAAGACGGTTGAGGAATTTTGAATTGTTGATATCCCCAAATGAAACTTGAATCCTATATTTGCATCTAGTTCCCTCCAAGTGCAAGGTTGCTGAAAGGCATGTAGTCCAGAAGCTCTGAAGTAACACGAAGCCGAATACCTTCCACTGGAGATCTGTGCACTTATGACTCATGACACATACCTTGTGTCAGGTCTTAAAGTCTCTAAGTTGGGTATTTGACAATTGGTGTGTTTAGCCCTTGTGGGGAATGTGGTGTTAGTTTAGTAGTCGAGAATTTTGATGGGGACAATTGCAATATTGGCTAGTATTTTGGCGCAATTGACCTTGAATGAATGGAATTCTATTCTGGATGGGGGATTCGGATGGTATTATATAGTATATATTTGTGTGTTAATAGGCTAAAACAATAGAATTTACAGCACACATCAATGGAGTTGCCTTCAGATTCACTCCAGTGAGGCGATGTATTTTCGGCCGAGAGCGATTCGCAGGTTCCTTCCATTTGGCGTTGGTGTGCGGTGTTCGGAATGGTGATGTGCATGCGGAGCTGTTGTGCGGAGCTGTTGTTGAAGTCATAGGAAGAAAGGGGAAGCAATCAACCGCTTCCAGAAGTGAAGATCACAAATTTTCAAGTCTAGCCCTCACATCACCATCATCACCTGGCTGGCAGAAACAGCTAAGGCCAACTTACAGGTATGACAAGATGCCGCTATGCTCACCAAATGCGAATTCACCGCGATTTCACCGCATCGCAGACCGCAACAGTCGGCTGGCACCCCAAAAAGTCTGCGACCCCGCCGCTTCGACCGGTCCGGGCGTATCGTGTGTTTCGGGACGCGGTCTGCGCGGTTCGGGCGTGTCGTGCGCGCTTCGGGCGACACGCGGAAGAAGCACTGAAGCGGAACGTGAGGGCTTGGTCTTCAGCCGGGGCTTTTTGGCCCAGAGGAGAGACAGACCTTGGAGCATTCTTGTTGGTGTTGGATTTTGGTCATGTGTTGGAGCAAAGTATAAACATCCGTGAATGAAAGAGTGGTTTGGTCATGCTTGGTGAGGCATTATGAACATGTCGTCTCCCAGACTTTCGATGACCCTATCAAAATGGCCTTGCAGCCACTGGACCCACCGCGCGTGCGCACCTGCCGTGGGCGGCCCGGAGAGCCTGGAGGGCGGTCGTGAGTCAGGGCGGCGCAGAGTGGAAGGGCGCCGAAAAGCACGAAACGTAGCTTCAGCTACTTAGAGTTCTCCTGCTGTTTAGCAAAAAACGTGTTGTTGCAGGTTTTTTTGGTATTGGGAAGAAACCTCGCGTTCACCCCCCGTCGATTTTCAAGTTAGCCAGACATGTTGACTACCTGGACAAGACCGTCTAGACCATCTACATCATGATGAATGAAACAAAATAATCATATGATCACAACTGATCGGTTCACATGGCCTGGTCCCGGCTTTGGGTGGATTTGATTCATAGACAGTCAAGATTCATTACATGTGCAGATGTGCATGTCACTTTGTAAAATGAGGGGGTGCAGCCCTTGGTGGAGCCTATATTCCTGGTGAATGTCTTGAATGGTGGTGGGAAGCGGCAGGATGACAAGCCTTGCAGGTATTAATGAAATGAATTTTTGGGGCAACGTGCGTCCTGGTGAGTTAGTTTGTCATCAAGCTGTAGGGCGCGTTGCTGGCTCAGCAGCAGCAGCAGTAGTAGGAGAAGGAGTAGGAGTAGTAGCAGCAGTAGCAGTAGCAGTAGAAATGGCATGAAGCTTTCAATGTCATTCAGTGTGAATTTGAGTGGGGTCAGGACTCGCAGCTTTATAGAAAGTGGTTTGGGTAAGGTTATTGTTTAGGGTCAACACGTGTGAAAATATGGCCTTTGATCATTGCTCAGCACGCTTGATTTTATACAGCTCTTTCATCGTGTTCAGGTGGTCAATGCACTCATTCCATGAAATCCTGATTAAGAAAAAAGAAAAACCGGCGACGACCGGTATTAAAGCCTTCATTACCAAACAAGATTGCAAACATCCTTTTTGGGGGTTCTATCCACATCTAATTGTCTTAGAGGTGGTCGTAGTGAGAGTGGGTGCGAGTGACCTACATGTCGAACTGACTAAGCCGCCCGAAGCGGTGACGAATGTTCCATCCGCTTTGTGTTGGCGCCGACTTCGTCGGCTGGAGCGTCGCCTAGGCGTTCTCAGATCGATCTGATCATTCCCAAGTTCCGGGTGTCCAAGTTCAGGCGAGACAGAAGATGGTCAACGACGTTTTTTCTACATGAAGGGCGTGCCCCAAATAGTGTCTCCCAGGAACTCACTCGCGTCACCCGCATTGATGCGCCTCACCAGAACCGATCCACGGAACGATCTCTGCTCGGCATCCGCTCTGCGGAGCAGAGCGGCCGCGAAGCGGGCGTCCAGTTTCCTCGCCAGGTCCGAGCACCTTGGCAAGGAGACTGAGAAGAGTGGAGCCGATCCAGGTGAGGTCGAAGGGTGGAAGGATGTGCAACCAAGCGTTGGGTGATAAGTTGAAGATCTCTTTTGAAGTTGTTCTCGATTTCGGGGAGAAGAAACTCCACACGCTGCGCGGAGGGATCGCCCGTCTTTCTTCGGAAAACCGCATGGTCGCTTGCCGCATTGGTATGTTTGGACGCCGTTGCTTCTTTGGGAACCTCTATGTGATAACATGTTATTCACCGAAGCTCCAGCTCTTCAACTTGTTTGTCTTGTATAGTAGGAGATATGCTTTGTCAGCACTGGAGACCGTGGGGAAGAGCTGCTCTGGATCTCCACCATGTTGGAGGAACGACCATGGAACGGTCGTGGATGTGGCAGACACAGCATCCTCACAAGGTACACTCAAACGAGCAATGAGCATAGCAAACGGGTGCCACCCCCCCTTCGACCCGTTGTGACCGACGGAAGAGAAGGTGAAGCATATGGCATCGTGAAACGAGCGAACTCAAGAGGGGAACCCCAACTCGTTTTTCTTTGATGTCCTGCTCTTATTGAAGCAATGGATCGTAATATATCATGATTCAGTGAACCGTTCTAACATGTTCTAACTATCTTTACCGAAAAGGACCATCGATTCTTCCTCATCACCAGCTAGGACTTGGGCAGTTCCCCTTCTATAGAGGACACTGGTACTGAATCTTCAGCCTCAATTGAACGAACTCAGACACATATTAGTTAAATAACAGTGATTTGCTGAAAGGAGCTCGGACTGAAATGTCCGAATGCCATCTTGAACACGTGTATCCTCAGCTTTGACTCAGCTAGGTGCTCGTCCGGTTCAGTTCTCCTCCTCTTGCCATGCCGAAGAAAGAAGTGAACGATGAAACGGTGGACGAAGTGAAAAGCACTCTTCAGATGAGCGAGCTGCCCCTTCCCCATGAGGAGTGCACCGCTCACAAGGCTGATGGTTCAGTGCCAGAAGGCGTGGGTGTTCATGAGGGGTCCGGATTCATGGCGAGGGCGAGGGCGCTCGCACGTTGTCTTCCCGCTCCTCGCCGCGGGTGTCTTTTCCCCTAAGAATCCAGTCCCTGAAACGGACCCCTGCGAAGAGGTCGGGTCTGACCCGTGCCATCAAAGAATCCAAGGATTCAAGTAAATGATGGGTTGATTCATTTCCCGGCAGTGATGGAAACTAGCAAACTTTGAAGAGGTCGGCGAATTTTGACGTAGTTTGATGCGCCATCTGCAAGAGCAGACGCAGGCCTGGTCATTTCGCGTACATTCTTGGAAGTTCGCGAAGCTCCTCTGTCCGACTCGCCTTCTGCCAAGTCAGCTCCAGAGCCGACTTCCACCCCACTGGATCGAAAGCTGGAGAAGAGGATGGCGAAGGACCTTCACTTGTACACGCGCCGCGAGTTCATACAGTACTATGTTGGACGATGCTTGCCTTCCTAATTTGTGAATTTTGGACTTCCGACCTTTTTGGTTCAGGGATGTGTCTATGAGTGACACCGTCGGACGACGTCCTACAGGTGGCGTCACGATCGAGGCACATCCTGAAGTAGATGATAGGAAAAACTGCAACCCAGCAGCCCTAGTGCGACCTGTTTATTTGAGCAAATATCCGACCAATGCTCGCACCACTCAGGATATGTGCGGCGTGGCTGGCGGCTGACCGAAGCCTTGTGGCGGGCTGCGCAGGAATGGGACCAAGCCAAGAAGGTGTGCAGCTATTGCGGCACGTGGAAGAAATTCAATGGAGAGTTGCACACCTTTCCCTCCCTTCTGGCAGCATTGCAGGGTTCCTGGCTCAGAGCCACCACTTTGTGGCCTGACCTCCGCCCTGCGAAGCTTCCCGCTTCTGAACGTTGGAAGAGACGGGCCTGGGAGTCTGTACCCGGCCAGTGCATCCACCATGGGCCCGGGTGCACTCATTGGGTCCATGGATGTTGCAGTCGGCATGGCTGCGCATTTGACCACGAGGTCGATTTTATTTGGAGCTGGCAACAGGTCCAGTTGGGGCCCTTTTTCTATTGGGGGCCCGTAAGGGTCAACCTTTCAACACGCCAGGTTTTTTGAACATTATTGGAGATCAGAATCAGAACCAATGATCAATTGAAGTGCTGCTTCTTGGAACAGGACACCCAAAGGCAACCTGTCATCATCTTGCATGTTGCAACTTCTAATCAGTCTCCAGTCTCCAACAAAAACACGGAGAGAAACCTGAGAAATGAGTGGTTGTCGCCAGTGGCCGTGGCCGTGGCGGGCGGCACCATGAATTTGCAAGTTGAAGTTCCTTGCACTGCATGCGCCGAGGTGACAAGGGCCCACAAGCTGGTCACGTCACTGCAACGTTGTTTTGTTTGTGCTGCCGTTTGTTCGGCGGCGCTGTGGTAACTCGAGCTGGTGCACCACATCGTTTGGAATGCAGTGGCTTCTCCAGGGTTGTGAACCATGTACCAGGTACCTCCAAGTTACTATGTTCCGCCAAAACTAACTGGATGTCGTTTGCTACCATCTTGAGCACCTTGATTTGCTAGAAAGTGTGTCAACTGCAGATGGATGCCTTGTTTGTTCCGGAGCTACCGCGTCCAGAACGAGTCAGGAGACTATTCGACTCGGTCGTCAAACGAGCTGCGGGACTGGAAAAAAGATCTGGCGCTCAAATACGAAACGTGCTATTGAAATATGAAATGAACAAGCAAAGCTGTCGCTCCTGCCAAATGCAAAGCTGTCAATGGAATTGCAAAGATGTCGCTCCTGCCAAATGCGTTGCGGAGTTTCGGAGTTTGAGTTTCGCTGTCAGGATTGTTCATTTTATGTCTTGGGCCTTTGTCACTTTGTCCCAACTCCCTTTTGTCACTGGCATGAAATCACGGTGCATGAAGGGCATCCGGAGGAAACTTATGGATGTTTGGGTTTTTTTCGTAGCTTTTTGGAGTGCGTGGCGGTCATAGTTTCATTGGATGCTTAGTTCAACGATTCTTCAATTGATTTCAAGCTTGAATCAGGTTTTTCACCAGACCCAGAAAGTGTGTGGATCGAGACATTCAGGGGGTCCAAGGTCTCCTTAGACAACAGCACAACAGCTGCGTAGGCCAGTGAAACCTTGATGGACTGGGAGCTAACTGGCAAGGCCTGTGGGACCTGGGAGCTGCCGAGAGCCACCCCTCCCGAGAGCGAACGCCCGTGACGCGCGCGGCGACGCGACACTTTTCGACCGCATGTCCGGCAAATGTTGTTTGTATGCTTGGTCATAGGTAGTGCAAGTTGGACATCACCTTTGTAAGTCTCGATCGCTGGATGGGCTCAAAGACAGTGGAGATCCGACCTTTGTTTCGGGTCATGCATAATGTACTAGCACTCCATGCACATTCGCTGAGCTTGGACAGCATTTCAATTTCATGCGGCCAACTCATCCGCCGAGGAGTAGAGCTTGCTCAACACCTGGGTTACAGGACTGGGGGCATTCACAAAGGATCTCTGGCCGCTCAAGGCATGAGCATTGAAGCACGAGATCATGGTGGCGGCGTCCCAGGTTTGAAGGATGGCGGAGTGACTGCCTCCTTGCAGTCAATCGGAGCCAGTGGCTATGTGAAGCCGGAGGCAAAGGCGAATCTGGCGGCACACATGCGGCACTGCGGTCTCATCTCAGAGAGAGACTACTTGATCGCTCTTGGTGATCAGAGACCGCTGATTGTTGTTGACGTTCCACGCTACTTCTCCTCACCAACGCCAAACTTGCCAATGCTGATGAGTGACTATCGTGCAGGAGGGTACAATGAGAGAAAGGCTGAAACGATGCTCATGGAGTCTAGGCACTTTGATGAGCTCCGAAACTGTCCGTGCGAGTGTAGTTTTGGCCGGCACGAGGATTTGTCCGTTGTGCAGATCCAGCGCATTGAAAACAAACATGTTTTTGAGCGTTTCAAGGCACATGAAACTACAACTGCAGAACGGCTCCAGACTGATGGGATCAGCGCAAGGCCCCGTGTGCACGAGTGGCTTGATCGGTTGGCAAACAAGAATCGCTTGTCAAGGGCGGCCAACACTGTTTACCTCCTCCATGGAACAAGGGCGGACAAAGTTGACAGCATTTGCCGTGATGGCTTGCAAACAAGGTTCTCTCTGGAGCGTCGAGGTTTGTATGGAAGAGGTCTGTACTTCACCACTTCAAGTTGCAAGGCCTTTCAGTATACGGCGGGGGATGGATGCATCATCATTTGCCGTGTTGTCCTTGGCGAGATTGAGCTGTTGGACGATATTTGCATCAACCGTTTGTTTCCGACTGATGGCTTTGACTCTACACATGCCAAAAAGGGTCACACTTGCAAAGCTCCAGGGGAGCTGCAGGTCCATGATGAATACATTGTGTACCACCCAGCAGCTGTCTACCCTGAATTTGTTCTCCGAGTGGAGGCCGATTGATTGTCACTTGGCGCCCGGCAGCATCGCTTTGTGAGCGCAAAATCAGCGGTTTAACCTATATAAAATGGGTGATGACGGGTCGTTGTGGAGTAATCCACCAGAGCGTTGTTTGGTCAGATGTGCCATGATGTGCCAACGTGCAGGGGCCTCACAACCCTGATGCGATCTAGCCGGAGTTGTATTTGGAGAAGTGAAAGAACACTAGATGTTGACGGGCCCTTCTAGGATTCTACTCGGTTCTGGTGAGACAAACTTTGGAAAAAGGATTGTAGATCACCAAGAGAAAACAGGATCAAAATAAATCAATACAATTCAGTTCGCTGGTACCCTAAGTCTGCCTGATCCCCTAAGTGGGCCTGGTCACCTGTTTAGCTGGTGTGGTGGTCTTCTTCAATGCTGTTTCAAGTGTATTCCATGGGCATAAATTGACGGTTGTGGTGTGAAACGCCCGTTGTGTGAAAATGTGCGCACATGAACTTGTTTTCGCACTGCTTATTTTGTGTTGTTTCCTGTTTTTTGATGTTTCTTGAGTTCCAATCCATGTCAGCACTCACATTAGAAGCACAATATGAAAGCGCACGCGCGCACATGCACGCACACATGAGAGAGCACATATGGGCCCCAACATTTTTTGTTGGACTGATTCACAACAATTGCGCCTAACAGGAACGCGTTTTTGCACCAAATAATTCGCGTGACACCAAATGGTAATTTGTTTCGTTCACGAAACACCGTGCCTACCACGACGTGCACTGAAAAATATTTTGAACGGTTCAGGGGACTTTCATGTTTTTGATGCTCGAGGTCCTACCCATGCCATGCACACCGAGTTTCAGCATGTGTTCCTTGTCAACCGAAAATGCCTAATGTTTCACAACGTTTCAACCCCACATGTTTTTGCAGGTTTGTTCCGCAACCCAGATTCCTTTTTCACTGCCGCTGAAACAGTGCTTTTCCTTCCCTGAAGATCCCTGAAACTGAAAAGAACACTTGAAGCGGTGAGGGAGCCTGGCCTAAGCCCTGTATCGATGACTTTGAGATATTCGAGGGTTTTGCATGGTGTGGCTTTTGGTTCAACCGGGTGTTAGAGAACAATTCGTCTTTACAGAACCGAATGAATCTACTTTTTCCCAGTTGACTACATGCAGGTTTGATTCATGTTTGTTCAACGCACCTTCGAACAAGCGTCGGTATTTTGAGCAAGTTTTGTTCCTGTTGGTTCGAGCATGGAGACTTTTGATATGTATATAGGGTGGTGCATCCTGCGACAGCGGTCGTGAGTGCCCCAACTAAAGGTCGTGGGTTCCATGAAGTCGTTCCCGCTCCCCCGTCCGCAGTCGCCGGTCCTGAACTTGGGAGGAACTCGGTGCTGTGCTGAAGTTCTATTTCCAGATCTTGGAGAAGTTGGAAACAGGAGCCCTTCTTGGAAATGTGGATGTGGCAAGGTTTGGATGTAGAGAACACGCTGCGGCATGCTGTGCTGCTAGGGACATCAACACCTGGTTCCAAGTTCCGCCCGCCCCTGTTGATGCTTCCCTAGGGCCTGGAACAGTCGTGAAGATGTCGCGGACATTGTCGAAGCAACTCACCAACCCTCAGCCTAGGTTCTGTACATCCAAAACTGGCACAAGATATGGAGGGTTTAAACCTATTTCAGTGATTCGTTGAGGCGGATGAATGACCAGCTCATCAAGAACCACAGCGAGGCCGCGAGGCGCGGTTTCCGCTTCTGGACTCGCCCGAGACCCGAGACAGGTCGACAGGCAACTGGTTTGTCAAAGCCGTTGAGAAGCAGAGGACCAGCTTCCAACGTCTTCCAACTACCAGGACCTTCCAAAACATCCAAGAGGTGTCTATAAATGGCCTCTTATAGGTGATTCGGGGTGTCCAAGAAGCAGCTGTTGGTCCTGGTAGAGGTCCAGCGGTGAACCGTTTTGAAGGAAACTATAGTCTTGGTGTGCAGCCTGACTGACGCGGCCTGACTTGTTCCGGTTAAGAGACAAGGTAAAGCATCGTTGACCAGATGCTGCGGGGTCATGAATGCATTTGTATCGAGTTCTTATCATTTCTGATTTGCCCTCCTCGAAGACCGATGCTATTAGATGTCAACAGACGGATAGAATGACAACAGACTTGTGACATCCAACCGCCCAATGGAAGCCATCGCCTTTGCGAGGGCTAAACTGGCTAAACCGGCCTTGCGAAGGATAAACGCTAGATCCTGAGACTGACTTTTGCAAATCGGCGTTCCATGGTGGTTTAGATCCCACATGCAAAATGTATTAACTTCAGCGGGCACCAGTACCATATTCTTCAGGAATTGACTTATGCATTGAATGTATTTGGCGTCGCTTGTTGACCGTCGGATGCATTGTATATGGTCTCTTGCCCCCACAGTTCTTTCGACCATACATCGAATGTCTACTGGACCGGTTTTGGTCGGCCGCGTGCTGTTCCGATTGTGGGACTTCAATTGGAATGAGCGGAGCACAGCATAGAGGCGCAAGCGCATAGCCGCAGAGCTCGAAGGGGTTAGATGGCCGAGAACTTGTGACTTGTGAATGGAGTTGTCGATTCCCATTGGCCGCAGGAGCACAGCATCCTGATGTTGACCCTCGGCTATGACAGGCACTCCAATCACAAGTTTTTCAGCATAGTAAATGGTTTGTTGCCCAGATAGCTCAGATGACAGGCCCAAACGGGGCTTCGCTGCAAATAGCACATACAAATGCCGAGAGGTTGCCTTATCAGCTGCTGTAATGATCAACCCTTCGTTTGCAAGCTGAATGTACAGTGTTTACTTCTTCTTCGGCAGAATGAAAGATTATGACGTGGAAGTGAAACCATCTCCGAGTGTGGAGCCCTGTCTTCGGCAATGTGTTTTTCTTGGACGTTTGGATCAGGTGCACAGAATAGCGCAGACGTGTGCGATTCTGTTCGGGGTACCCAGAACTGGCCGAGCTGGCGGGAGTTCCCATGTTTCCTCTTTGAAAAATAGACACGCCATAGCGGCCAGCTGTAATACT